GAACTTTTTTTACTTTTTTTTTTCTTTTCAAACAAATTTTTTTTTTTCAAACAAAGCTCCATCTATTGGTGGGGAGCAACACGTGCTGGAAACCGGGTCCAGCATCCCATAGATACAACCATATCCTCACAAATTGGCACAAACTGGGAACCGGGCCCATCGTCCCATAACAAGTACGTTCAGAAAAATTGGATAGCATTTGGAACATGAGATACCGGGGCCAAGCTACTCCAGACATGTCTATGACAACATCATGATTAAGTGAACCTTCGAAACGACTCAGAAAGATCCCCATCAAGCCACTTTACCTCCCTCCGGCAAGACTGACTGCAGCGGAGCCACCATCTCTGCTGCTGCTAAGCCATACTTCCACCACACCCGCTAGCCTGCTCACTGGTAGGACGCGTGATAACCCACCATCTTCTCCAGCTCACCTTATTTTCTTTCTGAAGAACCTGATGACTCTTACCATCATTCCAGAGGCATGAGAATAGGCCACAAAGGTCCTAAGATTGTTCCAAAAAAAATTGAAATCCCACACAAACCCTTCCCACGTTCTCCAAAACTGTCATACTCTCTGCCGATCTCTTCTAGGTCTCACACCCCCACTTCTGCTGGGTTACAGGGCAACGCAGCTCACCCCGGCTCCGACCAGCGTCGTCCCGGCAGCATCTGTTGGTTGTCCCGTGGAAAGTCCCCCCCAAGACTTCCCCAGATCTCTCTACCAGACCTCACGCTCCTGCATCGCAGGTTACAGGGCGACACCCCAGCACCGGTCAGCGTCGTTCTGGCATCGAACAACCACAGATCACTGAGTGTAACAGCGTTGGAACCACCTAGGAAGAGTTAGCAGGGACCCCAAAATCCTAAAAAATATTCCTAGGACCGCTAAGCACCCAACTCTTTTTGGGACATTCGAATTTCTTTAGAAATTTATAAGGGCGGGGGGGGCAAGACAAAACTACCTACTATCCAAAATTCCTCCTTCCAACAGATGGAGCGTGGGTCCAGGCTTTCAGTCTCGTACCAGAACTCACTTGATCTCATACCCCCTACTGCTAGGGTAACAGGGCACCACAACCCTCCCCAGTACCGATCAACCTATTTCTGACGGACAGGAAGTGTCTTCCTCCCTCGACAATTTCCTTAGCGGCAAGCCCCTATACAGGTTACAGGGTCAGTACCCTGGCGCCAACTACGTCGGACGAGCTGGTTATCCCTTCCACCCTCGGCATAACTTCACAAGCCTCAAGCTCCCCCTGGTTTACAGAGCAGCAGCTCCATTGTGTTCTCCTAGATTCTAATCGTTAGGCTAAGTCTTGTTAGTATAGAGTAGTATCGGTCATGGTTGTTTGGGGTGTGTAATTGGTACTGTGGACTGGTGATTCGACAAGTAGGGTTATGATATTTTTTTAACTAGGGTTTATGTCCATTGCGTTAGTGCCTTTAGGATGATTGTTGAAGTGTTACTCGTCGTTAGTCCGTGGGTATTGGGGATTTTGTTTGTGTTTTTGGTTGGTAGTGGGTAAGTAGGATGAAACCATTGAATATCTTGTTTGCATGTTTTTGGTTGGTAGTTTGTTATCTAGCTTGGATTCTGCTAGACTAGGGTTGTTTGATAATGGTGGTTTGGAGAAGGGGTAGATTAGGAATTGACTTTTGTTAAATTAGAGAACGCGAATTTTGTTTTAGGGTTGGGATTGGGATCATCGGTTTCATAACCTTGTGGGGCTGTGGTGGGGATAGGTTTGGCCGGGAGTGCCTTACTTAGCCCGTTTGACCGCAGCAAACGATGTAAGGGACACCAGCCCCGTTTCCCAGCTAAAAAAAAAAAAAAAAAAAAAAAAATGCCCATGTAATAACACTGTATAATATGACTAACGAGTGCGCCTTTGGCATTTAGTTCTCCGTGTCTTACATGCACCATATTGTACTTGAGCTGCATTAGGGGGGGTAGGGCAGAGGCTTCCATTGGTTAGGAATTTGGCGGCGTATCAGCATCCCAATCTGCAGTTCAGGATTCAGAGTCTCACCTGGGTTCCTGGATAGGGCCCAGTAGAGGGGCTAACTCAGATGAGACTGTCCCGGGAGGAGTGCTCTTTGCTATAAATGGATAATAGCCAAGGACACTCATCATGCTTTGATTCTCCATTTCCCTGCTTGTCACACACGCTGAGTTGAGTGGCACGTTCCTGCACGAGTGGGCGACAAGCTGTGAGTATCGGACTCAGAGATTTTTCCCTGTTTCGCACGGCGAAACACATTGTATTATACGGTGTACGTACGGTTTTCAATCCAAGTGACAGAGTTGGATTACTACATGCCATCGATGGAGGTCATATTGTGCGGCATTCTGAGTTTTGAATACGGATTCAGAAAAAGCGAAAACGTTTTTTTTTTTTGTTTTGTTTTTTTTTTTTAATAATATCGTATGGTCCGATGGACCACGGATCAGATATTAAACTGATCAGAACAGATACTACACTTGATCTTAGCCAAAAGGCCGAGAAAGGTATTACCCTACGCACTTTCACCATTAGTTCCTTGTTCTTTTCCTTCAAAATCACTGTAGCAGCGTCGTGTTTTCCAGACATTTTTGGGAGGGTGGCAATATTGTGACCTTGCCACAGTGCTTCGCGTGCACACAAACGCCGACAAAAAAATACGAAGTCGTGTGTACTGCCAAATACCATAATGACCTGACAGCAACAACCTTCAGAGGACCCAGCCCATTGGCTTGTACAATTTCAAGATTGGATTTGAGTCTGGGTTCGCCTGCCGGTGACATTCTTGGATTCGAACCGGTAACTTGGAGCGGTTTCTTTCTTTTTTGACGACGTTGGATGCATTTGAGCCTGGGACCTTTCATATATGGGGTTGGCTGAATTGGCCGTCCTTGTGGATGGGGTCTGGCTTGATTTCATCCTATGACCTTTCTGTGGTCAGTAGGCCCTTATTTAGCTTTGGTGAGATATTTTGGGGTTCGATCTGTTTACCTCCTCTGAGGCCGGCAGGCCCTTCCTCAATCTGTGCTGGGTTCTGGTCATGTGAATTCTGGCACAGATTCGATCCAGCGATTTCGGTTTTGGCTGTTGAATATCGGTCCTCACGCAGCTTGTTTCAGTGGTCTTGGAACTTTCTAGCTCTTTGAGTGTCTGTCTACTTCGTCTTAAATAGTTAGTTGACGCATCGTTTTGACACTCGACTGCGTGCCAAACCCTGACGAGTCCGCGGTCCGGCTCCGGATGAAACGCGTAGGATCATTGCTGAAGAGTTTGACCACGCACGCCTTACATGGACATGCCATCCACTTTCAGGTTTACTCCATTGACTGGATTGTTATCGTTTATTCTAAGAGCCTATTTGTCGCGTTTGGGAGACAGCGATGCGTCATCTGTCTTTTCTTCTTCTCTTTCTTCTTCTTCTTCTTTCTCCATCCTTGGGTCTTTTCTCCACCCTCTTGTCTCTCTTCTTCTTCTTCTTCTGTTTCTTGGTCATTGTCGCAGTTGGTTGTCTGTCATGCATGAGTTTGTAGGCCGTTTAGGCCGAGCTTGGATTGCTCTCTCGATTGTCTGTGACTTATGAATATTGTCCAAGTGTCACTCAACTTCATCTTGACAAATTGGAACCGCCGTAGAAATTGAACTACGTGTGTGTGACTCGTTCTCTTGGTCATTTACTTTTGATTGTGCTTTCTGTGCTTTTTCTTTTTCTTTTTTTGCTCTTTCGATTGTGAATTTCCCTTGCTGTGACTTTCATTAGTTGTAATGGCGGGTATTCC